TGTGCAGTGGAAATTTTTAGGGTTTTACTGCTCCTGCTTTTTAACTGCATTATGTGGAAAGAGTCTCATTTAAATAAAGTGGAGCGATTATTTGAGCACGGATAGGACACTGGGCAAAGACAGTATGCTTTGATTCCTTTCTAGATGGAAGCTTAATCAGGAAATGGCCTAGATGGCATTCTTTCAAGTAGGTCCTTGAAGTATCTTGGCAACAGTCTTAGGGTCATAATTGGAAGAATTTGGCTCTGTTTGTCTGTGGGTGTTTACAGTGTGTTATAGGGCACTGTTTCTTTTATTTATAGAATATTATAAGCAACAAGCAGCTGAAAGCTGAAAAGTCACTAAATGTGGATATATTTGGAGCAGATTCCATTTTAAAAAGCACCAGAATAAAAACAGAGTTATTATAAAAATATATTATGGCGGAGCTTGACATCTATAACTATAGGGTTGCCAGTGTCTGTTGGAACCACATTTTAAGAGCTTTATAAATCAACTCTTGTTCAGTCCATGAACTTGAATTTGAGTAATCTTCATTTGGATAGAGGGTGTAGTTATGCCTAAGTGAATAATTATTTACCTAAAAATAAATGCATGCTTTCTAAATAAGGTGGTTGAGGTGCCTGTCATAGTGGTCCTTAAAGGCTGTAGTAGTGGAAGGAAAGTTCTGGAAAGTCCTGCCAAAAGCTAGTTGGCCAATAGGAGATTTTTTTCCCCCTTTGTGGATGGTGGTCCATAGCAGTTCATGAAGATGGCCTGCAAGGCTTTAGCAGAGTTTATGCATTGATGGAGGAAGTACCTGCACTGACTGTCATTTCCTCTCCAAGTCTTCTGTTCTCTAAGTTAAACATTCCCAGTTTCTTCAGAGAATCATTTTTGGCACAATCTCAAGGCCTTTCACCATCTTGGTTCCCTTCCTCTAGCCTATTATGTCCTTTCTAAAATTTGGTTCCTTGAAATAAACACAGCATTCTAGCTATGCTCTGACTAGAGCAGAGTATAAGATTGTTACCTTTCCAGTGGTAGGAATACTCTACCTTTTATGCTGTAGCCAAAGTTTACGTTAGTTTTTTTGGCTACCATGTGATACTGGTGACTCAGTGAGCTTTAGTTCACCAGAATTCTCAAATCTTTTTCAGACTACTGCTGTCTAGTCACATCTCCATTTCGTACTAATGAAGCTGATTTTTTTCAAACCCAAGGGTAAGGAATTTATGAGATGTAGTGGATAAAGTGGTAGACCTGGAGTCAGGGAGACCTAAGTTCAAATCTGTCCTCAGACATTTACTAGCCATGTGACCTTAGACCTCTTAATCTCTCCCAGCCTCAGTTTTCTTATCTGTAAAATGAAAATACTAATATCTCCCAGGGTTGTTGTGAGGATAAAATGAGATTATTTGCAATGGGCTTTGCAGTCCTTAAAGTGCTGTATTAATAAGACTAGCTATTATCATTATCATCATTTTCCTATAGTTTTAAATTTCATCATATTAGCTTCAACCTAATATTCTAGCTAGTCAAGATGTTTTTGGAGCCTTACTTTGACATTCAGTGTGTTGATTACCTGCATATTTGGTAAACATGCTAAGTATGCCTTTATCCAAGTAACTAACCATCCCTTTAATGTTTTAGAATTTTTCTAAATTTTGATTATATGTTTTGGAATTTTTCTAGGATTTGAAGTCTAGCTCATTGTCCTAAGGTTTGCAGACTCTATTCTCTTCTTAGCATGGCACCATGGAAAGTCTACTAGTAGATTTGATGTCAGAAGATCTATGTTTGAATCCCAGCTCTGCCACTTAGAGCTTGGGTAACCTTGGGCATATCATTTCATCTATTTGGGCTTCAGTTTCTTAACTGTAAATTGAGGGTGAATAACCAGGTGATTTTTAAGGTCCCTTCTAACTCTTAAGTCTTTGATCCTATTGTCATTTTTTGAAAATCAGAACACCTATCCTTTTCTGGTTGCCCATTCTCCACAGTCATTCAAAGATCCCTGACAGCAGTTTGATAATCATATCTGCTTAGCTTCAGGACCTCAAGTTATATTTCTTCTGGATCTGGTGACTTGAGCTCATCAAGGGCAGTTACATACTTTCTTGCAACCACCTAACCTACCTTGGTTTTCAGCACTCTACTAGCCATCTATCTGTCCTTTCTAGTCCAGAGATCATTCTCCTTGGCAAAGAAGACAAAAATAATCTAATAGTTGAGTGACAGCTTATCTCAGCAAACTGAGAGAGGAGACAGTGTCGAATACCCAGTGGTACATGCTCTTTTCACTGTGCTTTTGTAGTCTCTGGTTGAGGTTGGCTTGAAAGTTGAAGCCGTCTTTAATTATCAGTTGGGAAGAGGTCCACAGCTCTTGCTAACATCAGTAGCTTCCTAGCACTGGACAGCAACTTCCTGTAATCCCTAGCTGATAAATGGTACAATGGCAACTTGTTTGTAAAATTTGCAGACTATCCCTGAACCTTCTCCATCTTAGTGGTTCTGCAGATGCTTCAGTAAGCAGCTTACATGCTCATCAACGATATCCAGATAGATTCTGAGGATGGATCTTTTGTTCTTTATACTGTTTCTGCTTTTCCAATATGCCCACCAGCTCCTTACTTTTGCTTTGTGTAGTGGAGTCCTTCCAGGACCTTGCCACTGAGACTTGTGTATTTTTTAGTTAGTAGTCAGTTACTCAGATACTTAGTTATGTGGGGGGAAAAAAAAAAAAGAAGTCGTCGATTCCACTCTTAACAAGTCATTCATTGTGTGTTGACTTGACTTATAAGGGAGAATTTGCTGCCATTCTTTTAGAGGTGCCTAGTCAGTATCTTAGAAATCTGGAAAATGTATAATTAAATCCATTTTTCATTTACTAATTATGTCACTTAGTGTGCCCTGTTGTTTTCTACAAGATAAAGATAATTAAGTTAACCTGCCTCTGTAGAGGGACTTTAGAGATCATCTAGTCTAAACCTTGCCCTGATCTCTCCCTCCCCCCCTTTCTTTTTTTCTTTTCTTTTTTTTTTTTTTTACAGATGAGGAAGCTGATAAGGTCTATTGTAAAATTAGGTGACTCACCCTTGGTCGTATACCTAATCTAGTCCAAGAGTTGGGCCTTAAACCCAAGTCTTCTGAGTCCAAGACTCATGTTCTTTTCATTCTATTGCTAAGTTCCCGTCTCCGTTCCAGTTACAGAATTACAGAATCTTAAGGTTGAAAAGGAAATCATTTGGTGCTATCTCTACATGAACAGAATTTACCTCTACAGTTTACCTCTGGAAAAGCCTAATGTGAGAAGGAAACCAGTCTCTCTGGGGGTAGTTCATTTCACTTGTGAGCAACTGTCTATCTATTTAATTATCTATCTATCTATCTGTCTATCTGTCTATCTATTTATAGGCAATTGGGGTGAAATGGCTTACCCAGGGTCACACAGCTAGTAAGTGTCAAGTGTTTTGGTCTGAGGCCGGATTTGAACTCAGGTCCTCCTGACTTCAGGGCCAGTGCTCTATCCACTGCACCACCTAGCTGCCCCTAAACAAGACAGCCAGTTCTTTTTTTTTTTTTTTTTGGTGAGGCAGTTGGGGTTAAGTGACTTGTCCAGGGTCACACAGCTAGTAAATGTTATGTGTCTGAGGCCAGATTTGAACTCAGGTCCTCCTGACTTCAGGGCCGCTGCTCTATCCACTGCGCCACCTAGCTGCCCCTTGAGCAACTATTTATTAAGAAGATTTCTGCCTCTGCCACTCTGCGAAGAGAATGGGCTCAGTGACAGATGTCCTATCCCACTAAATGCGAGACCTTCTACTTTGGCATAAAGCCAGTAATCAGTACTCAGATGTAGAGCTGGAAAGGGGCCTTAGAGACCATCCAGTCTAACCTCCTCATTTCACAGATATGGAAACTGAGGCTTGTAGAGGTTAGCGATTTGTTCATGACGACTCAGGTAAGTAAGTAGCAGAGGTGAGACTTACACCTGTGTTTTCTGGACTTCCAGGCTAGTATCTGTTTCTACCCTGCCACAAAGTCATACTGCCTCTAAAGTGGAGCTTGCTGCCAGAACAGGGTCATGAACCCCGAACCCTCCAATTAAAAGTCTGATGCTTTATTTACTATCAGAATGATAATGAGATTCCTTGAAACTAGTTATTGAATGAATTCCAGATCTACCTAACTATACTGTCATCTAGTCCACATTTACCCATTTTACCTACTAAGATCACATGAAAGATTTTGTCAAATGATTTGCTAAAATCTATGGTATATACTTTTTCCATCCTTCTGTTTGAGAGCAAAGGAGAGGGAGAGAGAGAGAGAGAGAGAGAGGCAGCAGAGGCATGAATATCCACACAGAGCATGCATGCCTACCAGAAGCAGCCCTCCATCTTCCCAAACAAGAAGCAGTTCTGTTGGGGGATACAACCAAAGAAAAACTGTCAAGATATGCTAACAGACTTGTCTTCAAGACCTGCAAGAAGGTCCTCAAGGGCACCGCTACTGACAAGAAGTAGCCCTTCACCAGCAATGCCTCTATCCAAGGCAGACTCTTGTCCTGTATGTTGACCCAAATGAAGATGATGAGCACAGTCGTCATCTACCATGATTCTCTGTGCTATGTCCACAAACAGCTAATTCTAGAAGTGCCACAAGACGGGATGAGTGCCCTCCCCTTACCAGGATGGTGATGTTGCATGTGCTGAAGGTCACCGAAGCATCCTGAGCAAGAAGCAGCTCCAGAAGTTCTGAAACTCTCCCCAGCATAGACAAATACTAGTGGCACAGAGAATGTGTAGCCTGACCTGGTAATAAAAACATCCTCCCATCCAATAAATAACATATGGTCTATGAGATTCTGCTCAAAATGTTCTTTATCCATTCGTGCTGACTTGGAGTGGTCATTTCTCTCCCTAAAAGCCTCATAAGAGCAACTTAGAGAATTTTGTCAGGAACCAAAGTCACACTCACTGGCCTATAATTTGAAAATCTACTCTCTTCTCTTTCAGGAAATTGAGATGACGTTTGCTCACCCTTAGTTTTATAGCCACCACTCTTCACTATTCTTCATGAGTTTTTGAAAAAAGATGAAGATCACCAGCAATCCTGTCTGCCAGTTCTTTCAGTACCCTGGGATGTATTTCATCTAAACCTGGTGACTTGATCTCATCAGGAGCAGTCAGGTACTTTTGCGATTTCCTTATGATTTTGGGCTTCAACTTCCTGCTAATCATTTTGGTTCTGTGCTTCCTAGAAATTCCAGAAAATTATTCTCCACAGTAGAAAACATTAAGACAAAGTGATGAATGGTTCTGCCATTTCTCTGCTCTCTGTTATTATCTCATCCATTCTGAGACTCAGCCTAACTTCATTAAGCTTTTTCTTGCCCCCAGCATAGCTTAAAAACAAACAGAAACAAAACCAACATTCCTATTTTTTGCTCTTTTACATTTGTTGCCAGTTTCAATATATTCTTAATGTGTTGCTATTTTTAATACTATTGTGATGCTTTTTAATTCAGTTAGTCAACAAGCATTTATTTTTTACTATGTCATGGCAAGGAGTACAAAGTAGAAAGAAAGTTAGTCCCTGACCTCAAGGAGCTTACATTCTATTGGAGGAAGACAGTGCATAAGTAGAAGCTGAAAAAGGGAGGCAGGGAATGACAAAAAAGCCTGTGGGACTGATGGGTTTAGTAGAAGAAGAAATCCATAGTCCTGCCAGAAGAGGAATGAGGCATGGCAAGCCTGTGTGCCCTACTTAAATGGAGGTTCTGGGAGGAGCCATCCAATCAGATGGAGGGGCACGGGGCAGAAAGGACTTCCAGTGTGTTGGAGTTAGAGACAGGCTTATGAATAAAGAGCAGGGCCATGGTAGAGGATATTGGAAAGATGTCTTAGGCCTCCATTTCCATATCTGTTCATACCTTTTTTAAAAATCCAAGTTGATCTTTCTATAACAGAACCAAGAATTCTGTTGATCGTTGGTTGATGACTTCCTCATGCATCCACATCAGTCTCTTTATTTGCATTGTGCCTCTTTTGCTTCCTTCTAGAAAGAGTAATTTGTATTTGTGTTGTTCAAAGTAAATTTTTGAGCGCATCCCATCCCTCTTTAGTTGGCTTGTATCTTAGGCAGTGGGATCCTACTTATTCTGAACTCTTTGAAATTCACTCTCCCAAAATCTATCTTTTCCTTCCTTTCCCCCATGAATTCTAAGATGCAGTAGTTGTTTCCTTGCAAGATTCCCATCATTTCTACTTTGGCAAGCGTTTCCCCCCATTGGTTGAAGAACATGGAATCTCAGAGTTGGAAGTATCAGAGTTGGATCCCGAATAGCAGTTCCTCTCATGGCTTCCTCTGCTTTTCAAAGAATGAAATTATCATTTAAGCAAGTCAGAAATTTCAGCTGCTTTGCCTTTAGCTACAAGAGCGCTTTAGCAGATGTCTAGTTAACTAAACTTTGCCATCACTATTGTAGCCTGTGTTTGGTTTGTGATCTGTTCCCTGAATTTTCACATCTGGTCTTATTTCATAATGAGCTTTTGTATCTTGTCTCTTCCCTTCCATCTTCTCAGCCTTAGTCCAAGCCTTCTGTCTGAACTTTGACCACTTTACCTCTTGACCTCTAATTTCTAAGACCACTGTTTTGTTTGGTTGCCTTGACTATTCCTTTCCATCCTCAACATCAGTCGGTCCAAAAGCACTTAAACTCCTACTTTTGTACATTCTTCCTTCCTAAATGACTTTGAAAACTTCCATCAGCCTTTTGGAATATTCTCCAGGCCATCTTTCTCCTAATCCTTTTTAATGATCCTTTTCCAAGCTTCCATTCTTCAACCTCACCAACATAATAATAACAAAATAATAACAATCGTAACAACTAAAACAATAGTTAGCATTTATATAGTGCTTTAAGGTTTGTAAAGCATTGTGCATATGTTATTTTATTTGATCCTCACAACAAGCCCATGAGGTAGGTGCTGTTATTATCCCAATTTTACAGATGAGAAAACTGAGACACAGGTTAAGTGACCTGTCCAGGGTTACACAGCCAGTAAGTGTCTGAGGCTGGATTTGAATTGAGGTCATTCTTCCTCTCAAGTCCAGACTCTGACCCTCTCTGTGCCCCCTAACTGCCTTAAGAAAATCACATCTGTCCTGTGAATATTAGCTTAGCTCTTATGCTGTATAGCTCTGTGGTGTCTAGCATTTTATCAGTAATTAATATGAAGACCTATATTTTATACTTCTGAAATTAGCAGCTGGCATGAAGTATAATATTTATTGAGGTGGTTCACAGTCAGGATCCAGAAAGATTTCAACTGAGTAGAGCGATGGTTGTAAAGTAGTAAGAGGAAATTTCCTGGGTATAAACGTAGTCTTCTACTTGTATGACAAGTTTTTTTAAAGCTCAAATATAAGATGGGGAAGCCTGGCTAGGCCACCACAATTTGTGTGAAGATCCAGAGGTTTAGTGGATTTTAAGCTCAAAGAGGAGTCACCAGTAGGATGTGGCAGCCACCGATTGCCAGCACAGTCGTGTTCTAGTTGCTGTGTTTCTGTTCATGAAGCCTTATACTCCCTTACTTTGAGCTTTTCTTGGGAAAGTCGGATGACCAATTATTGGATATGGAATAGAGAGAATTTTTGGTCATGTACCTATAGAGAGAGCTCCTGAGGTTTCTTCTAGCTGTTAAGATTCTTTGACAGCTCCACTCTCGTCTGCCCTGGTTAGTCTATAAGTAGAATATTATGTTCAGTTGATAAAAAATAACAGCTCTCTTTGAATATGGCAAGGGAGCTTAAAGCAGTGGATAAATGTGTTGAACTTGAAGCCAGGAGGAGATTAGCTCAACTCTTGTCTCTGCTACATTCTGAATCTTAGTTACCTCATCTGTAAAACACTATAATAATACTGGTAGTATTGAACTCACAGGGTTCTTGTGCTCAAAAGAGATGGGGTATGGAGAAGGAGGTTGCAAACCTTATTATTATCAACCTCAGAGAATTGTTGTACAGATGCACTGAGATGATACACATAAAATACTCTATAACTTTTTGAAGTGCTCTATAAATGGTGGCCAGTATTAATATTAGAAATTGACTTGTACAAATTGATGCTGGTTTGGTAGCCTGAAGGGTTTGAGATTCATAACTGAACTTGCCTCCTTCACCCCAGGGTTGTTGTAAAGATCAAGTGGAGTAATATACATAAAGCCTTACAACCATATGTAAATGTAAGCTATTATTACGTTAAAGAGCTCTGTGACCATAGAAAGCTCTAGAAATCTGAACTGGTATTCATTGCTTTGCCACAGTTAGGTGTTTGGGAAAGAGAGTGTATTGACTCTGACTCTTGACTTCTCTTCATTTAAAGAAAAAGGGAAGACTCTCAAATGTATCCATAACATTGATTTATTTTAGGCATTTGGCGTTTTGGATTTTTAAATTCCTAACCCTAGGTAGGCACATTTAGTTCCCTTTTATGTTTGCCCAGAAATTAAGATAAGGTAGGTTGACTGAGCTTTTGAAAATTACACAGTTTAACTTGGTTATAGCAGCCAATCAAAGCCTAGCTAGCTTGAGTGAATGCATAAGCTGCGGGCCTCAGAGACACTGGGTTTGGCAAGCTTAAGTCTTCTGAGGGGGTGTACTGGGCAGTGTTCACTATGCGCTGACTAATGTACAGCCCTAAGTGTTGGCATGTGGAACTGAGATCGTTTTGAAGATTCCAGTGCTGTCTTTGGGTGGGATTCTTTTAAGTCACCTGAAGCCTGCAGGGTTTAAATTAAGCTTTTATTATTTTTTTATTTTTTTTTTTAACAAACAAGATCTCATTTTCTTGAACATTATTTCAATGAATGAAGGTTATTGTTGTTGCTTTTTCAGGTAACCAAATAATTTCCCTGTCCTAGGGAATGGCATAGAGGAACAATCATACAGAAACACCTCTTCCCCCACTTCTACCTCCTTCCATTTGTAGATTAATGATTCAGGGTTTGAATATCATATGCATTGTTGCCACCAATCCCACATTCTTTCCTTGCACAATGTGTTAGTATTTTATCGTTACAACTTTGTAGGACTTTAAAATTTTGAATAGTAAAGCATTTCTGTATGTAGAGAAGGCTGTCCCCCACGTATAGCATATGGGGGTCTTGTATGACTCAAAGAGAGGCAGAATAGACATCTCTGGCCTCCTCTCCCTCCACCCTTCTCCAAGGGAGACTTTAATTCCTGCCAAGAGAGGAAGCAGAAAATGGAGGGCAAAAGAAACTTGGCCACTCTGTACTAGGTTAAAATTATATCTGTTGGCTCCTTTAAATATTATTAGTCTAGGTGATGTGGTTTTCACCTGATCCCTCTGATTAATGAGGAAAGTAGGACCTCAGCTTTATATCCAAGGCTTAACTCCTACCAAATACCAGTTCCACAGTGAACACACATATAAAGCAGTTTTTTATCCAATTCAATAGCAAAACAGAAATCAGAGAAAGTATGCATAGAAGAATATGTAATCAGACAATACAGAGTGAAGGACTTCTTCCATTGGGAACACGGTAACTCAGCTCAACAAAGAGAAAGGATCCCAGTTCTCTCCAAGGGGATAGGGACATCATGTAGACTGCCAGCTCCTCTCATCTCAGCTTCTTCCCCAGAGTCTTTTCCTTCAGCTACCTGGAGTGGGGCTGGTATTTTTCATCTTTCAGTTTTTCAGTTCAGGCCAAGAAGTGCCCAAAGTCCATAGAGACTCAAAGACTTTGAAAAGATTGACATTCTCCACTCTGTCATTCTTGCCAGTTCAGTCTCACTCCTCACACAGGTGCAGGGAATTGATCTCCACTGGTAAGAAAAGAATCCCATACTAATGGGCTTTGGGACTGGGGTTACAGTTATTAATGAAAGCACCCCTAAGAAACATAAATGACAGTGGTGATATCATCCTAGGAAGTTGAGTTCTTCAGTCTGGGAAGGTAGAATGAGGTGTTAAGTGATGGGCCCAATCTTACATAGTAGCAGAGCCAGGATTCCAGTTCTGGCTGGTGACACTAAGTTCAGGCTTCTTTCTCTTGTATCAGGCTTTCTCCCATAAGCACATGAAAGAAAATGAGCAGGTAAAAATATATTCAAAAGAAAAATTTCCAAGTAATTCCTGGGATCTGTGAGAAATTTAAGTAGAAAGGCCTGGTAGTTTTAATAAGATACAAACTCAGTATAAGATACTGGTTTAATATGGCTGTCACCAAAGCTAAGGCTTAGGCAGCACTAATGGAGCTATCATTCTGTTACCTTCAGTGAGGAAGGTAATAGTCCCACTGTGCAGTACCTTGATACGACCCATTGTGGAATACAGGCATATCTTCATCCTGTGTTGTTCATTAGTTCGGCAAAAATCTGACTTTGAGTGCCGCAGCATTTAGAGAGCTGTCCCTTTCTTGGAAATAATGTTGTACATTGTGTGATCAGTTGAAGAACATTACAACAGGATTCTTGATGTTCTAGTAGAATTTGGCTGCAACATTAACATCATTATTATGAACTGACTGGTTGGGGTAACAATATGAAGGGTGTTTACTTTTGGTTGCCACACATTAATTAGCATTGGTAAGTTGGGGTGTGTCCAAAAGAAGGTGACTCAGTTGGCCAGGAGACTGGAAACCTTATCATGTGAAGAACAGTTGTAGGAACTGGGGATGTCTAAGGAAAAAAAATAGAGAAAAGAAAACTTATGGGAAGATATAATCATTGTCTTCAAACATCATTTAATGTCTATAATGTGGAAGAGGGCTTGATCTTCACATGGGATTTGTGGGAGGACAGTAATAAGGACTGCATGAGATGAGAAGGTGTGGCCAGCTGGAGAGATGCCATATTGGAGAGTGTCCTTATTGAGGGGGCGATGGACTCGTGTAGTCTTAGAGTATTCTCCCAGTCATTTTTTATGACTGAAAGGCAAGGAACACTGCAGTCCTGGAAGAAGACGCAGAATTGCAGGTGACCCAAAGGACCATGAAGAGATGCGTGGTACCTGTACTTGGGCTCCAGCGTATTACCAACAGCAGTTTGCAGGCAGTTATTGGCTTAATGAGTTGGGAGAGTCATTTAGTGAGGCCAAGGTGGACAACTGCATGCTGCAGTGTTATTGCCGACATATTCTTAAAAATCAGAGGAAGGCCTCTCCTGTGTTGGATAGGTCCTCTGTGGAAGGTCTATAGAAAGGCATGGAAAACTGTCACAGGGGCTGCAAAGTCACGGACAAGCTGATGCCCACATTTGTCCAAGGTCTTTCCATACTAATGAGATCCTCATTCTGTTGAAGAACTCATTTGAGCAAAATTACACTAACCAAAAAAATTAGGTGTCCCATGAAGTCTTTAGTTCAAGAAGAACTTTCTATTTGGGAGTGCGTAGAGTGGCAGAATCCACATGAACAACTTCTGTCATTGTTATTATTGTTGTTGTCATTTTTATCATGTGATAGAACTTTTGTGTGACTTCTTGGGCTGGAGATGCAAGACGTCTTTTAAAAATGCTTTTAACACATGTTGTGCAATACATACGGGACGTGGTTAATAGACTTGTGTAAGTTTCTGTCCAAGGGAAAGTGAGCCAGCCTTCTGTTTTCTGGATGTGACTGAAAAGAGTAGTTAGATGGGAGAACAGAATAGATTTTATTCTGAAACAAGCCGTTAAGACCCTTTTAATGAGAAGACAAGATCTAAATGAATCTTGTGAATGAATCAAACACAAGACATAGAAAAGAAAGCACAGAATTGGGAGTGCCAGCGAGTGCTGTTTTACAGTCAGATGAAAAAGCACAGATATTCATGAGACCTCTGAGGCAGAGTGAGGGAAGGTGGAAGATCAGTAACATGTGGAGGTGCAGAGAATAAGCTGTGTCAAAAAGGAGGTGAAGAAAAACAAGTTCTATGCGGGAATCCTAAGGGAACAGAGGACATTCTTTCCTTCTCAAATCAACTTTAGCTTTTAGGAAGGAATAGAGGAACTGGAGAATGGGAGTCAGGGTTGAAATCTCATTAAAATTAATTAGCTCTTGGGAGTTTCTTTCCTTTGGCTTCATATGTTGTTCAAAAGTTATAAAACTTCCTTAGATTTTTATTATGAATTCCAAATAATATCTTTAGTAATAATTCCCAGCTATCACAACATTAGGAGCTGCAGTAGATAGAGTGTTGGGTTAGGAGTCAATAAGATTCATCTCCCTGAGATCGAATCTGGCCTTAGACACTTACTTAGACACTTACTACCTGTGTGATAGGTGGTAAGGCACTTAACCCTGTTTGCCTCAGTTTCCTCATCTTTAAAATGTGTAGAGAAGGAAATGGGAATCCACTCCAATATCTTTGCCCAGAAAACCCCAAACGGGGTCACGAAGAGTTGGACACAATTGAAAAATAACTAAACAACATCACAGTGTTAACATTTTGTTTCAGACAATGTTTTCACCACCATCTTTCCCCAGTTGTCCACTGTGGACATATTACCTGTTTGGTAAATAGGCATCAGGCTAATTTTCTTAAGTTAATGAAATGAAAATTGTCTGTCTTGCTTCCTTTTGAATGGTATGTCCAGGAATTGGTATTTCAAGAACATAGGAAACAGGAAACAGAAAATATCCTTCACCAGTCTCTTTCCATCTCTTATTTTCCTCCTCACACCCTTACATTATTATAGGTATATTTTTAAGAAGAGGTAGAGACATTCAGAATAATTGGCTAGACTATGGACAGAGATGGGATCATGAAATATCTGATTGTCACTGTCTATAAATGAAGAGCCTATAAATGAGCCCAACTCTCTCTGTTTACCCTTATTAAAGTATTCTTTCATTTACATTAAAACTATCTTATGGGTTTTTTTTCCCCTTTTATGTGTTCCCCTTTCTAGGATTCCATGAGAAGGTGACAGATATCAGAAAAGCCTGTAGGTGACTAGCACTGCAGTGGAGACCTGATTCCTAGTCTGAATTTGAATTTCAAAAACCCTATTTCCAGGTAAGAAGTCATCCCCAACAGATATGCTCACTTTGGAGCTATTTTCGTGGTTATTGCTAAGGTTGAGCTATTCATTTCATAAATGTAGGTCAGGTAATAATAGCTCATTTTTCTATAGTGCTTTTAGGTTCTTTGACTTTGGAGAATGTGTCCACATTAACCAGCTGTATTTGAGTTTAACAAAACAAAACAAAACAGAGACTTTACCCCTTTGGGGTCTGATTCCTTGGTCTCTACAGCCAAATAGTCATTCTTTTGCCAATGGTAGCTCTAAAGGATGTTCTATGAGATGACATTTATCCTCCATGATAAGTGCCTTAAGTATTCGATTTTCAAGATAAGAGGCTAAATGGCCAGCTCCTTTTGGGGTTGTTGAAGAGAAGAGTCTCACTTGAGTGTGGGTTAGACTAGATGTCTTCTGTCTGAGGTTCTTCTAACTCTGAATTTATAGAAACGTACATCCTTTGGTTTTCCTTTGTTTTACATGCCTATGAATTCCAGTAAATGAGAAAGGCATGATTGTACTTCTTAAAACCATGCTGTCTTTTCCTCAGTAGGCTATTTTTGTTTTATGTTTTTTATGATCCTGTCCTTTATTTATTTCATCAATATGGGTACTCCCTCCTTGCTTTCACAGACATGAATGAATTTCTACATGAATTTCTGTGACCAAAAATATTCATCCCCTGATGACCAGTCTTTTAGTGGTGAATTTTTCTGAATTCAGCTACCCTGGGCCTTAGAAGACATGCACAGTCTTTTCCTTGACCTCTATTCAAAGAATTTTCAGCTTGCCAAAAGCTTGTATCTACTTGTCATAGTGTTGGAAAATTGAAGGTACTCTTGATGATGAAGCATAGAGGATAGATGTTAGTGAAATAATCCTTTATTACCGATTCACTAACTATAGTCCTGAGAGGCAGTCAGCATGGTGTGGTAAAGAGAAAGCTGGCCTCGTGCCAGGAGGACCAAGGTTAGGTCCTGCCTCTGACACCTGTCAGCTGACTATTTCTAGGCAAGTCATTTGCCCTTTCAGGTCTCTAAGGAAGCTCTGTAAGTAAGACTAGAAGTGGTAGAGAAGCTACCTAACTGGATTGATAGAGAGAATTTCCTCACCTGGGAGGTCCCTCTGCCAGTGAAATCACAGGTCCCAGGCCCTATCCCTCCCCTCAATTATAGGTACATTGGTCTGTAATTACTCAGATACCTTCTAGAGTTCATCTTTATAACCTTTCACCCCCTTGGCATAGTGGCCTTTTGTAGTGACCCATGGTGTATGTAGTATTGGATGTATTGGAGAGAAGACATTTAGTCACTTTGATGTTATTCCTAAAATGCCCTCCCTCCCTCTTCATCGCTATCTCCATCTTCAGAATCAAGGTGCCACCTTCTCTGGGAAGCCTTCCCTTGCACATGTGTGTACATACATACATGTGCACACATATGCTCGTGCAGATAAATTTACACACATATAAATGCAAGCACACACAAACGTGTGTGTACACATAGAGTGTTTTCCCTCCTCAGATTACCTTGTATTTCCTAATCTCAGTACATGTTCTATTCCCTTACCCAACAGAATATAAGCTCCTTGAAGGCAGTCTTGTTTTTCCTTTTCGGGGAACCACCTTGCACAACACATTGTTTATAATAGAACCTTCATAAATGTTTGAAATGAATGGAATTGAACTGACTTAGGAGATCTAGGTCCTAGTGCTGGAACTGCTGCCAATCACTTACTCCATCATTATGCATTTATTAAGCACCTGCTGTGTGCCAGATACTACTGTAGGGGCTGGGGATACAAATATAAAAATGAGACATTCCTTGTGCTTGAGGAGCTTACATTCTAACTTTTGCAACTTTGGGTAAGCCTCTATCTATTGCTAATATTTGGTTTCTTCTTCTGTAAAATGAGGGATTCCAACCAGATGGTCTGTTATGACCTTTCAGTTCTAACATTTTGATTCTTACGTTCCTACATTTATCCTTGATCTCATCCAAAGATCCCAGTGAATGCTATATGTTCCAAGTGCTGTAACTACATTTATGTTGTCAATTTGGCTTTATTAACCATTGCTTATTCTAGTAACACTTATTTCCTTCAGAGAACAGTTTGGAAATGGAAGTCTCCCTAATATTCTGCTAGAATAGGCTGAATAGAATAGAATAGACTGAAGCAAAGGGGTCATTGACTGGGAATTCTTGTTGTCTGTAACAATCATAGGATCACCCTTTGCCCCCACAGTAATCTAGTAGTCCCATTATTCTGCTCTGATACATTTAAAGAAACTTTTTTTTTGGATGTCATTCAAGATGCTACTCATAGTCTTGTGGTCCTTAAATGCTAGGTAAAATGAAATCTAGTTTTAAAACTTTGCAAGCTTCTATAGTGTGTCATCATGCACGATTTGTCTTCTTATATGATATATTTTCTAGGAAATGACTCAGAGATAAGTGACTTCATTACCATCACAGAACAATTGCCCAGTTGGAATGACAGTATACACAAATTTACAGGGAAACATCAATGATATTAAGAAAGCACAAGTTAACAAGGTTTTGTTCTTAGATTTAAAAAAATTTATGTATGAGATTTTATGTATGAGAAACATGAAAATAATGATTTACTGATACATCAATTATAGCATTAATTGAACTCTTTACATAATAAAGACCTACTATATATAACAATTCAAGAAGCATACAGATTGGTGTAATGTTAGAGATAGAGGAATGTCCTCCCTATGCAGAAGAAGAAACTAGGGAACAGAGAAAAAATGAAGGCTTTAAAAAACCAATATCAGTCAGTCAACAGTCTCAACAAACATATACTGTGAAAGGGCCAAACTCCTGACTTCAAAGTCCTGAAATGCACTAATGCTTTTTATGACTGTACTCACCCTCATATTTTACTTTGGGTCAGCTAGGTGATGTAGTGGATAAAGCGCTGGACCTGGAGTCAGGAAGATGAGTTAAAATCGAGCCTCAAACACTAACTATATGACTTTGATCACATTACTTAATCTCTATTTTCTTCAGTTTCCTCACCTGTAACATGAGGATAATAATCGCACCTACCTTCCAGAGTTATGGTGAGGATCGAATGGGATAGTATTTGTAAAGTACTTGGTTCAGTGCCTGGCACATAATAAACACTATGTAAATGTGGGTGGTTGTTGTTATTTTAATTCTTCTGATGACTTACTTTTATGATCATAGATCTACTACTATGGGTACTTCTTTCATGGTGCAGCTTGCAACTCATCCATGCATCTCATCCTGTGCAACTGTTGTCTGTAACCCTATATAAATCCTCCATACTTGGTCTACCCATTGTGCTGGGACCATTCTCCAGATGTCTTGACATAATATGAATACATCAAATGTGGGCTGCCATTCACTATCCCTCACTTCCCATGTAATGACTACCCTACCTCCTTTTCCAGTTATGCATCTCTCTGATGCCATTCTTTGGGGCATTATTACATTGGGTAGACCAACTCTGAAGAATTTATGTGGTTATAGACAAGAGTTACACAGGATGAAATGACATGAATGGGTTTGCAATCTTCACTACTGGTAGAAGTAGGCATGTGGATCTGTGATCCATACAAGCAAGCCAAGACATCAGTACTTTTTTGGTAATATACTGCACCTTGTTCGTGACTATACCATGTTCCTTTCAGTTACCCTTTGGGTGATTAAAGTTGAATTCTTTGGAGACTGTCATATTCCGTGACTTGCTACTATACAGCTGACTACAATAATTTTTTATGAAAACACATTAAAGTTTCTTTTGGTGTTTTTTCATATCGCTGTCACTTCTCAATTACTCTCCCCAGCCCCAATAACAAATGAATGCAATTAAGCAAAGCAAACCAATACCTTATTATGTCTGAAAATGTATGCCATATTACACACTTATCATCCACCTCCGCTCTTCCAGGAGGCAAGAATAATACTTCATTGTCAGTCCTCAGAAGTCATGATTGCTTACAACTTTGATCAAAGTTCTGAGGTCTTTTAATGTTTTTTCAAAAAAATATTGATGTGAAAAAGTTGGGCTGTTGTGTCAGGAAGAAGCTTGGAGTCATTATGCAATTTTTCAAATGCAATCCAGCTTTCTTTCCTCCTTTTCAATTCTGGAGGCAGTTCATCATATACTCTGTCCATTCAAGATAGATGTACTGATGGACCAGCTTTATGGGTTGTCTGTCCAATTGCAAATCATAATCTAGGAAACAGGCATTCTTTCATTTTTCTTGTATGAATAATAAGGCCAGATACCTAAATGATTTTGGATTTTGTTTAGGTGTCTCTACAATGTTTTGGGACTTGATATCATCTGCAAAGAGGAGCATCTCCAAGACCTCACCTTCTCTAGGGGATTCCTCTTCGATTTAGACTCTGCACTGGACATCCTCGGTGAACATAGTCAATACCTTCGGTGAGCATATATCTCTGTGTTTTATGCCTCACTTGATATCAGTAATCAGAGAGTTTTCAGAGTCGTTTCTGTTATACCTTTTTAAGAATCTTGTATGATTTTAACACCTGCACGGGAGACACTTTCTTGGCAGAGAGCAGAGCCTTTAAGGTTCTGTCAGAGAGTGTTTGCTGACTATAAGAGCACAAGCACAGTGTGATCTTGTATTCACCACATCTTTCAGTCAGGTATGTAATTGATGGAGAGTATGATTTATGAAAGCTTGTCTGTTTGCTTCTTCATCAAAGATACCTTTTCTAGATTATTCTCACAAAGATTATATAGAAATGGGAAAGTCAACACAAGGCTCAGTAGTTGTTGATTTTTCATCATCCCTTTTTCAAATAATAGTACTAATGTCCTGTATTCCCTCCAAGCATTGGGTATCTTTCAGATATCTTCTTTCTGATATCTTGAGAAATGATCCTCAGCCCCCTTAAAATTGTGTTGCTTTAAGCATGAAGCTACTCTTGTGTATACCAGCACTAGTCTCATTCCCATTTTTGTTCCCTTTTGTGTAATTTCTACCTCCTTGTGTAGCTTGCAAGGGACTGTGATTTTAGAGTTCATTCGTGGTGGGCTGCAGTGTCATTAATGAAGAAAAGAGTTTATCATTAAAACCTTGACTCCTTTTTTTTTTCCATTCAGGACTCTTGCTAAGCCTTTTATATGTTTGTTTTCCTTCCTCTGCTTTTTATTACATAAAAATGTTGTGTTCTAAATTGTTGTTGCCTTTGGTTAACATCTTTCTCTACTGAGCAATAAAATACAGTCTAAGCTGTTGGAGGTGGTTTGTATGCCTCTTCATTGTAGCGATTGACTGACACTAGTTAAACTAGTTAACTTTCCTTAGGAGATGATGAGAGTCCATACAGTTGTCTGTTCTTTTATCCATTTCCCATTTTTGGTGCCACTAGTTTGTTTAAATAGGTGAGATTAGAGTTGCATTAATTGTGCTCTATGTCTTCTCATTTTCTATTCTTCTAATGTGGTATTGATTTTGCTCTTTGTGTTAGTAAGACAATAGTTTAACTGTCCATAAAGCTGAATGATTCCCAGACAGATTACCAGTCCTTTCCTACCTTTCTTTAAAAATACAGTCTATTGGGGCAGCGAGGTGGCACAATGGATAGAGCACTGGCCCTGGAGTCAGGAGGACCTGAGTTCAAATCCGGCCTCAGACACTTAACACTTACTAGCTGTGTGACCTTGGGCAAGTCACTTAACCCCATTGCCTCACCCCCACCCCCAAAAAATATAGTCTGTTTCATTTGTCGTGATGCTATATGGTGCTCACCATCTATATTACCTCCCAACTTCTTTAAGAAAATGTTCATATATGTACATGGTTTCTCTATAGGCTATAAACCTTTGTCCTTTTTTATTTATTACTCTTGAACCATGTTTTTCAACATTTTTCATGTCTTCCCATATGCCTTCCTTTGTCTTGAAGTTACCTTGTATTAAAATATATATTGATTTAATTTAGAGGGACTTAACAGGTTCATTGTAGAATTTCTTTATCTCCTCATCCCCTACAACAGTTGGTGAATGGGGAAGGGAAAGGAAGAGAGCAAACATTTATTAAGTACCTACTATATAAGTATTATCTCATTTGATCCTCACAGTAATCTTGTGAGGTAGGTGCTATTATTATCCCCATTTTACAGTTGAGGAAACTGAGGCTGAGAAAGGCTAAGTGACTTGCCCAGGGTCATACATCTAGTAAGTGCCTGAGGCTGGATTTGAACTCAGGTCTTCCTGACTCCAGGCTCAGCACTTTATCCATTGGCCTACTTAGCTGCAATTGTCTTCATGGTGTTCTTTTTGCAAATGCTTGTCCTGAGTACTACAATACACGTGACCAGTTGTCCCATGAAATAAAAAAATAAAATTGTTACCTTTGAACCCAGAATAAAACTGTCTAGTCTTTTATTTCTCCAGTGAGAAGCTGAGAGTCATGTCTTCTGGTTGATAGGATTTTCTTCTTGTAGTTCTATGTCTACTCATTGGTCATTGGATAAAGATTTCATATTTAGAATATCAACAGTTAAGTTATTGTTTATAGATAGTTGAAAAGCTGATTCTTATTATCATCTGCTCCCTTTTCTGCTACTTTACCACCATCACTGCAGAAATAGAAAGATCCACACAAAACTGAGGGTCATTTGCTACTTTTTTGGTTTTTCAAATGATTGGTTACAAGGTGTCCAGCCTACTTACGATAATCCGTTTAGTACTTAGCTAGGTGGACCCATGGACACTAGATATAATATGTTTCTAGAACCATACTTGAAGCCTTTGCTAAGTGGAAAGAACTTGCCAATGCTTGTAGTCCTCTGGAAGTTTTCGAGAACCTAGGGACCATACCAGATGTATCATCAGGATAAGTGTTTTCAAACAATTTTCTCTGTTCCCATAAATATTTTACTTTGTTCAGAGTTTTGTTTCTGTTTTTTTAAATAAGCTTCGTTCTCCTTACAGTGCCATCACCCCTACCACCCCAACCCCCGTCCTCTTTTTAATTATTATTTACCTCCTTTTATACCATAATTAACTATCTTTTACCTTTCTTTTTCCAGTACTAGTCATGGCCCCAGTTCCATCCTAAACTTTGAGCTCCACACAATTGTTTTGTACTTTCAATATTATCCATTGATCTCCATTTTTATTGCGGTGCAAGTGGCAGTGGGGTAATGAAATATCTTCGCAAGTACATTTTGTTGTTCAGCAGTGTTTAGAAAAAGCTTTTGTGAATCTTACGACTCTTAAAATGTGTTTAGTTAGAATAGATACAATTTGAAACCTCTTTTGTTTCATCTTCTCTTTCTGTCTTTCGCATACCTTGGCTAGATATCTAGGTTCCACCAAAAGAAGGTTTCAGTTTTCTGTATTCTTTTTTTTTTGCTTTCCATATTCCACAATTTAGTTCATTTTAACAATTGTTTATGTCATGGATAAAAAAGAGTAGGCCAAATCATAAACTTGATAATATTCTCTTTACCCCTACCAGGCCTAGACCAACAACCTCCCTTATGTAATGTAATAGAGTGGAGCCCACCTATCCAGTGTCATTCTCACTAAATAGTTATAGATAGAAGTCCTGAATTTCTTACCTTTATGGATACCCCTGTAGGTTATGCAACAAAGATGGTAGCATTGTATCCTAGAGTCCCCCAGTATAGGGCACATATTACCCAGGAAAGGAAGAAAGGCAGTGAGGGGAACTCTTCTGGTCATTAATTAAGATCATAATCCTCTTAGCATATTAATATAGTTTATTACATTAATGAATTGTTGTATTAGAAGGTACAGTGACCCTACACTAAGAGAATGAGATAGAGAACTGAGCTACTCAAAGTGCTTGGTGCCAGAGGGCAGCATGGGGTACCTAGCTAGAGGAAACAGGTCCCAGATAATGGGATGCTTGATGGGCCCTCCATGGTAGGCTTTGTCTAAATAGCATGTTGTAATGGAAAGACTCAGAGCCCAGGGGCGGCATTCTAGTCTTGTCTCTGTTCCTTTTTTGGCCTTTTTAAATAGGTAAATCACTTCCTGCTGGGTCTCATTCCTCTACTGTAAAGTGAGAGGATTGGATTGGGTAATCTCTAAAGTTTCTCCCAGGTCTGACATTCTGCAATTTGACTTGACAATTTGACAAGGATCTAGCAGTGGGATCTGCTGTGGGCTTTGTTTGACTGTGAGATGTTGCTAGGTTTGGGAAATTGGTGGGTGTCTTAGGTCCCTTTGCCCTTTTTGAATGTGATGTTTTAACGACTGAACTTGCCTACTTTTCTTGACAATTTCAGAATATTCAATGGCTGACCAGAGAATGGACATTTCTTCTACAATTAGTGATTTTATGTCACCAGGTCCCACTGACCTCATCTCCAGCTCTCTTAGTGCTACCGGGATGGATTGTAATCGAAAAAGGAAAGGCAGCTCAACTGATTATCAGTAAGGATTTAAGGTTTTCTTTCTCTTATTTAAACTTTGTTGCAAAGTGGTCAAATCTAAAATCTAGGCATTATCTTTTGTGTAACCTTGAAGCTGTGACCTTATTCACTGTAAGGGAAATTAAAAAAATTACTCCCCAAGACAGTTTTACATTGCTCTATTAATTATTTTTTCTTCTCTTTCTCACTGACTTTTGTTTTGTCCTCCTCTTTTCTCCCATATAAGTTGAATGAGGAGATTTAAAAGCCAGATTCTACAATTTGCTCAGGTTCTTCAGTTTCCTTCTAGGGCCCAGGACCTTATTATTTTAAGTAAGGTTCTAAGTAAATGTTCATTGAATTAAATGGATGAATATGTCTGTTGCCTCATTGCATTCACTAAGTGCCCCCTTTACTGAAGACAGATTTCTTTTCTGCCATCACATTTTACAGTCATGTCTAAGATCATTCATAAGTGAAGATGGTCATTTTGTTGTCTTGAGAGCAATATTAGAGCACTTGAATATAGGACTCAGATCATTGCCATTTTATTGAAGATATCATAAATGAGCTTGTACCTGTTATAATGAGTAGTATTTGTGTTTCTTTTCAGACTCGATGGCTTTTCTTTTGAGTAAGTAAATTTTCACATTTAAATTTTTATATTTCTACCATACTTAGGTAAAAATGGACAAGTCAGAATTTAAAACTTCACAAAGATTTTTGTGACAGCCTTATTTGTTTTGTTTTCAATGAGTTGAATATTTGAATTATTGTCCTAATATCCATTTAATAGTTTGGTGAGTTTTTTTAAGGGAAGAAGAAAATCCTCAGAGTAGTATATCCTCTAGAGCAAATGCTCTTTCTACTGAAGAATTATGGTAGAATTAGGGATGTTAGAGTTTCTTTGGAGCTGCTTTTGGAAATCTGCAGTTACCAAATTCCAGATAGTTGGAAAGGAGAAAGCCCCAGTAGAATAGTGAGGGTGAGGGTGAAGACAGTGCCTGTGAGAAGATACTCCTGCCTTCCCTTCCTTAGAAGGGTTTGGCTGAGACCTTTCTCCCTGCTCATTTTATGTTGTTGACATGATCCAAATTCTGGATATTCCAGATTGGTCTGTATCTGCCTTGATGTATGTAAAGTTTTGTCCTTGATACTCCTTTTCTTGAGAAGTTTCTCTAACAAGAAGCAGATGCCCAAGAGAAAAGGCAGGCTTCTTTATTTAGCCCTACCTTGTGGGCAGAATGTTGTTGTTATTCTTTTTTTTTTTTTTTTTGAAATTGCGATTAAATGACTTGCCCGGGGTCACACAGCTAGTAAGTATCAAGTGTTTGGTCTGAGGCTGGATTTGAACTCAGGTCCTGAGTTCACTGGTACACTGTACCACCTAGCTGCTCCAGAATGTTGTTATTCTAATGAGCCTTTAGAACCATTAGATGAGTGGTTTTCAGACTTTTTATTGACCTTCAGAGTTCAATTAGGCATCCATAAGAATTCCTTCAAAGAAAAGTGTAATGGGGGCAGCTAGGTGGCACAGTGGGTAGAGCACCAGCCTGGAGTCAGGAGGACCTGAGTTCAAATCCGGCCTCATGTACTTGACACTTACTAGTAGTGTGACCCTGGGCAAGTCACTTAACTCCATTACCTGTCCCAGAAAGAAAGAAAAGTAGAATCACAGCAGACACAGAATTTGTATCTATGAGGTTATGTTAAGGTTCTACTATAATGCCTCTTAAAATAGTAGGTTCCAGGACATACACTCTCTCTGTCTCTCTCTGTCTCTCTGTCTCTCTCTCTCTCTGTCTCTCTCTCTTTCTCTATCTCTCCCTCCCTCCCTCGCTCTCACTCTCTTACTCTCTCGCTGTCCTACTGTCTCACTCTTTCTGCCTCAGAACCAATGCAGGAAGGTTTCCCCTTCTGAAAATTTGAAAACCCAGTGTACTCAAAAATTCCCAAGTAAGAAGGAAGCAAAACATGCAGAAGGGCTTTAGGTCAGTCCCTCTGGTGTTAGTACTCAAGTCTCTTTCCAGTTCTGATAAGACACTGTTTTTGACCCATCAGAGGACTTAGCAGATAGATGCTCATTCATCCAGAATGATTAGGGAATGGGATATGTTCTGGTTATGTTAATATTCTGCTTGACTGAATGGTACTCTGTATGTCATAGTGATTTAAAAGGAGAATATAATAAGACATTGGTAGTTTATGCTAACACTGTACCAAACCTAAGTATAATTTTTCTTGATCTGGAAGGCATTTCATTGCCTTAGAGTTACTCCATTTCATCACTTAGGAATATTCCTGTGGTCAATATTCTTCTCAGGGTGGAGGATATTGTATGATTTGATTAGTCTGGCTGCTTGGATTCTGGATAAATGGAAGCTTTCCATATGATGAAGAAACTTTTGTGACTACTTGATTAACAAATTTGAATGTTTTTCTTTTGTTTTCAGAGAAAGTATGGATACAGACAAAGATGACCAGCACGGAAGGTACATTCAGCATCTTTGTTAATGTGTGTGTGTGTCAGCAGATTTGCTGCTGGTATTTTTTTATGTTTGGTTAATTTGCATATAACATAGAGCAATTACTCCCCTCCCCCCCAAATTACCAAAGAGACGGGAATAACCCTTCTCTCAGGCACAGTACCACTTCATGGCATTGCCCAGGGGCCAAGGGCCTAAAGGTAAATAAAGACAGTAGAAGTTGAGAAAAGAAAGGGGAAAGAAAATGGCTGACTGTACCACTAATCTTCCGGGCTTTGTGGGATTTTTCTCTTCTAGGTTGGAATACCCAGACCAGCAGGGCAGAATCCGAAATGCCAGGTAAATGCCCAAACTCATCACATGTTTTACTTATGATGACTCATCCTGTTGGATACCAAAGAAAAGATATCACTGTATCCATCCATTAGGGATGAGGGAGGAGGAAGGAGTTGACTTGTAACCTGCTGGGCCTTGTGCTAGGGTTCTCTCCAGGTTAGGTTGGCCCCGTTCTCAGGTCTATTAGCAGGTTGGAGGCTCAGGGGATGATGGAGGCAGCAGAGGATGTCCCAAAGCTAAAAATGTCCCTGCAGCTTTAGCAGATTATTGATTGTTAGAGGGGATTTTAACTTGAAGGGCAAGGAGGTGTCCCTGGACGCTTGGACTCTCCTCCATTCTCAACCAGAGGAAAGCCTTTATTGAACAGGTCAGTGTTCAAGCCCGGATTGTGGGTGATGCTTTGCTGTTGTAATGAGGCCAAATGGCACACCTCTTACCCATGCACACTGTTCAAAGCTGACAGCAGATGTTTCCTCAAGTCAGTTATCTCTGCCCTGCTCATTGTTTTTAATAGGGGATCTTTTTTTTTTTTTTCTATTTCTTCATGCCATGAATACAGACACTTAGGCTGTGTCCTAGCAAACAGGATGTGAAGCTGTGAAATTTGTTTGAACTGTGTCACCAGGGATTTTCCTTACATTGTCTAAGTGGCAGAACTGGTGCTTCTGGTCCCTACCGTGTGGATCTTCTATCAGCAGAGCACGTTTTGATTCTGGTTCTGTTTGCTCTCCACATACAGACCCAGCCTTAGTCTCTGTTTGAGAACAGTTATAGAAGGATGGTGATCACCTCTCAGGGAGATAGTGTCTGCTAGCAAAGGAGATATGACCTGGAAAGGTAATGTTAGCGTTTATGGTGTTATGGCTTAGGAAAAAGTTTCTTCCATGGCACTGAGTGATTGGCATGTAGGTCATCCTGGAGGAGAGTGACTTTTTAAAAATAAAGCCCTAGGTCAGGTGGATAGTCCATTTGCATTCTGCAGGGTGGGGGTTGGGGGGTACAGCAGTTGATGAAAGGATGTAAGGGTTATTAAACAGTGACTCATTGAATGAGTCATTGATAGACTATTTTTTAACTAGAAAAATACCTGAAATATGCTTCCTAAAGAAAAACAGTAAGATCTTTTTAAAACTGAAAGGATGGTTAACTGTGGAACAGATCCCCAATTAATAACCGATGTAAGGATGGGAGTGTTTTTCTTTCTTTTCTTTCTTTTTTTTTTAAAAGAAGGACAGAAAGTAAGAAAGTGAAAACAGAGTGGGAAATACTCATATTACCATATTAGTTTGAATCTAGGCCATACCTCTAAAATGAGATCTCTTTTGAAGGAAAAAAATATATGTACTTAGTATAATGTTCTAGATCAGTGTATATGAAAAGGAATTAAATTTTCAAGGAAGTGAAAGCTTCATTTATCTTTCTTGAGTTTTTTTCCCCTGTAATAATGAAATGCCAATTGAATATTCATTATAGCCAGCAGTTTGAGATTTTTACTTTGGGGAGAATAGGAAAAGAACCTATTGTCCTAAAAGTATAATTACAAACTAAACATCAAATTTTATACAAACCAAATTTGGGGGAGGAGTGAAAGTGTAGTTTATGTGTGTACCAAATTAGTAAGGTAAATATAAAAGAGATAACTGTTGTAACGTTCCAACTAACTCTAGGATAAAGTAAAATAAGATAATTATAGTATAATTAAAGTTTTACTTAGGTATTAGTGAGCCAAGAAATATGTGTGTAAAAGCATTTTGCAAACCTTAAGTGCTATATAAATGTTAACTATCACTATTATAGTCAAACCTCCAGTTTTGAACGTTGTGTAAATTCTAAATTTGACACGTCAGATGAATGTTTAAAGAAGATACATTTCTATTTTTGGCCATTTTGTTCTGTGAATAATCATTTTTATGTTATTGCTTAGGGAAGCTCACAGTCAAATTGAAAAAAGGCGCCGAGATAAAATGAACAGTTTTATTGATGAACTAGCTTCTTTGGTACCGACATGCAACGCAATGTCCAGAAAGTTGGATAAACTTACTGTATTAAGAATGGCTGTTCAACATATGAAAACATTACGAGGTGAGTCATTTATGTCAGGGAATTTGTGTTTTGTTTTCTTCTGTACCCTAATAGCATATCTAGAATATCTAGAATGTTCCAAAGTACCTAAGCAAATATAATCAGTTGCTGTTTTTCATCCTTTAAAAACTGTATTGCAATTTTATCAATGAGTGGGATACTAAATGATCAGTTTATGCAACTGTATATTAAGTATACAGTGCATTATAGTGGAAAGAATGTTGGTCTTAGAGTCAAAAGACCTGGGATCAAATCCAATCCAACTTCTGTTGAGTTATAGAAACAACATTGGAATTTAAGTTAGAAGACCTGGGTTTGAGGCCCGGAACCATCATTTTATAGGCATGTGACTAAGGCAAATTGCTTTGGCACCTCTGAGCCTCACTTGTTTTTCATCTGCAAAAATGGAGATAATGATACTTGCAGGGTTTTTGTCTGGAACGAATAAGAAGACCTTTGTAACTATTAATAACTATAAATATCACCTGTCATTAGTTAGCCATGGTACATTTGTGATTTTGATAAATACGAAAGGGAAAAAAAGTCCCAGTTCTCAAAGAGCTCTTGAGAAAAATGCAAAGAGCCTCACAGGAGAGCCAGCTAAGTCAGAGGATCCGGAAAGGATTTAGAGATGATATTAAAAGGAAGACAGCAAACCAATGGAAAATGACACGGAGTCACTGGCATTTCTGGTTCGATCTGTTCTCGTCAGTGACAATAGTGGGGCCACCACTTTCAATCCTGGCACCCATTGTGCTGTATAAGGAAAGGGTGGTGGCATCTACAAAGTCGGGAAGAGCGCATTAGCTTGACATACATGCAAAGGGAAATCTCTGCAAGGGACTACAGATGGAATAAGTGGATTGATTTTCAAGATGTACCCAAGAGGGCAAGATGCTAAGACAAGGGAAGATTATAGATGGTGCTTTTACAAGAAATGGATGACCAAGAAGATGCAATGAGGAACTTCTATCTAAATAGCTCATCTTTTACGAGCATGGTTTCTGTACATACGTGGAGGATCCTCGTTGAATACAGGCAGTGAAAACACAGGCCTTCAAAGGTCATTTTTTTTTTTAGTTTAGTACATCTTTATAGTCATCCAACTGAGAGACTTAGAGGAGCTTACTGTGTCTGTGAGTTTAATAAAAGCATTTGACTTGACAGAACAAGATGTTGCTTTTATAGTTCTCCTTAAGGTGTCTCTCACACATGTTAACAACAGTTTTGAAATCTGACAGATGCAACTCTGAAAATGACTTTTTTCAGTGACTGAGTAATAATTTCCAGTTAGGTATAAAATAGAGATACATGTTTGTCTTTGGTGTTTTCCAGTGTCAGGGAAGATGTTCTGCATAAAGTGTAAATGGAAGGATTTACAAGTAGTGTAACTACTATTACACAAGTAGGGAAGTTCTCTAGATCCACATTCATAGATGTCATGATGCTAATTGCATACAGCTTTGGAACACTACAGGCCTCTACAGTGAAATAATATAATTACTTTAAAGTCCATTGATGTAACTATCCATGCAGGAAAAACAAAGTGGATGAAGATTATATTATTCAGATTGTGACTTGCAACAGAATAGCTATTTCATTGTGTGTATGTGTTCATTTAACTTTTTTTCCTTAACTAGTCTTCAAATATCAGAGGAAATGTATACATACACACATACCCACAAACACACGCGCGCGCACACACACACACACACACACACACACACAGATGGAGTTAGTATTCACAGTAACAAGATCACAGATCCATAATCTATGCCTGTATTGTTATTAGTAACAATGTTAATTGCATTCCCTATGTGTGTGTGTGTGTGTGTGTGTGTACACACAGTTAGAGCATTCCATGCATTAGAAGATACAGATGATGCCGTATCCTGTATATATGTCCGTATGGTCGTTCCGCAGATGCATTATAAGAAGCAGAAATGTAATGTACATAGTGACAGATAAGGAAGCTTCAATTTTTAGGAGAAAATTAATTATGATTCTGATGAAGAATGAGTCTTCATCTTATAGTGCCTCTTGCATTTTATTTTATCAAGAATAGGCACTGATGGTATTATCATCTTCCTGGAAATTTCCCCATATAATGCCTCTCTTTGTAAGAGAAGTCATATTTTCTTTTCTCTTCTTTTTTTTTTCTTTTTTTTTTTCTTTTGAGGCAACCAGGGTTAAGTGACTTGCCCAGGGTCACACAGCTAGTAAGTGTCTGAGACCAGATTTGAACTCAGGTCTTCCTGACTCCAGGGCCAGTGCTCTATCCACCTGTGCCACCTAGTTGCCCTTCTCATCTGTCTCTCTCTCTTTTTTTAAACTAATTATGAGAAGGATGAGGAAGCAGAGAGAGAAAGTGGAAATGACGTATCCAAACCAAAGGAGAAATCTCTACTGCAATATATAAGTCTAGAAGTTTCTTAGTCTTGCTTTTACATTTTTCCTTAACCAGTCTTCAAATATTGGAGTAAACTGAAAGGCAGGTACTGATGTGTAGACATATAGTTGCAAAGATATATATTTTAAACTCACAAACACAAAGAATTTTCACCTAGTCCAGCCTCATCATGTTACCAAAAAAAAAAAAAAGTTGAGGCCCAGACAGTGATCTATAGGATCATTACTTATGGAAGGAATCATAGAAATCATCTAGTCCAACTCTCCTCATTTTATAGATAAGGAAACTGAACTCCAGAGAGGTTAAGTTACTTGCTCAAGGTCACACAGGCTGCAGGGGCCAGGCACAGACTGTGAATTTTCCAAGGTGACAGACCTCATAGAAGGGTGCCTGAAACCAGTCACTTGGCTTCTAGTTCAGCATCGTTTCCAGGCCACCAAATGGCTGCTCCACAGCTATCAGAAACACAGACCTGAATTCTTTTCTTTTTTTGCAAATAGTTGAAAAAGGACTAATATATTCTATTCTACTTTGATGTCTATGTTTTAAATTTGATAGAAGATTGTATAATGGGGGCAAAGATGTGGGAGGAATTTTTAGAAATGAATTCTCAACAAGTGAGAAAGAAAAGAGTAGAAAGCCTGAAATTGTTGCCTAGACGTGGATCAATACGCTGTTCTTCATTAATTGATAATGCAGGTCTTAAATTCAATTAAATATACTGCTTTCCCTTCCATAATTCATGTTGGTTCAATCACACTTTTCCTTTTCAGTATTTATTCCATTAACTAGGCAGTAAGTCAGGGTCATCTAATAATAATGGTGATAATAACTTACCTTTTTTTTCTTTCTTTTCATAAATTGCTGACTTATTCCTCCTGAAAGAATTTAGAAGTGGCAGTGTCTGGAGACAGAAGTCCTGGCTTTGCTCAGGCACTTGCTGGCCATTGCATTTACCAGGAAATGTATCACTCTGCATTGCCTGCTACATTCTCTTCATTTAATGCCTATAAAGAGGGACCATCTCTAAGAAGTTTCAGGAAGTGTCCTTATTTAAGACCGTGACTAGTGTATTATGTCTTCCAGGAAAAGTCAGAGTGATTTAGTGAAGAACTATTTGGTTTTCTACCCAAAAAAAAAAAAAAAAAAAAAAAAAAAGCCAAACTCTTTTGAGGTTTGGTTGGCAAAAAAAAAAAAAAACCAAAACCAAACCTAAGGCTCAGCCAGCCTACTTCTAGAATCAATTGAATGACTGAGAAGTAGAAAAGTTCTAACTTCCCATAATTATTTCTCAGTTTTGATTTTAATGAGAGAAGCACTTTTCTTCCCCCTCTCCAAGACCCCAGAGCACAACAGTATTCACTGTTAAATGAATTATCTGATATTTTCCAAGACCAAATTTAGCCCAATTAGAGTAGAAGAGAAATGCTTGCAATTTTATTTCCCTTTGTGGGCACTGCCGTTTCCAGAAGGTTTAAATAGGAATCTTTTTAAGCTAGCTAGACATTAGTGCAGTTTCTCTCTATATTTTTTTTAAGAATATGAACTGTTTGGTTTTTTTTTTCCCTTTCTAAGGTGCCACCAACCCATATACAGAAGCAAACTACAAACCTACTTTTCTGTCAGATGATGAGCTAAAACATCTCATTCTCAGGGTATGTTGGGATTACTTCTCACCTTTTCCACTCTTACCCCCCAAATCAATGAATTATTTACCTTTATAAACTTCTGAAACATGACTGTGTATTAAATTGGTCTTCAGAAGAACATAATGAACTGATTTAGTATTGACCTCTTGATCAAGCTTCTTTTCGTGACCTTCAATGTCATCCTGATACTCTGTCCTAAGACTTTATTTTATTAGAAATTATTATTACTAGTCATAAGATGCTAGACTTTTAAAGCTGGAACTAGTCATTGACAAGTCATTTGTGTGTGTGATTTTCCCAGGCGGGGACAAGGAATTTTCAGAGTTTTTTTTTTTTTTAATCATTCAACGGTTGTATCTTGTTAAGTGTTGAATTGTGGTCAAGTCATAAAGTAATGGTAATAAAGCAAAATTTATGAGTTTGTAGTCATTGATCCATGTTAGGGGGTAGGGATTGATGGCAGAGGAGAAAGCTGGGAATTTTAATAAATAGCATTTTTTATGCTCCGTATATGGGTAAGAGTAAAAGCAAATATAACAAAGTTTCTGTAAGTGACTATTTTTCCTATTCACTTTTTGGCATAGTCATTATATTTGAGAAGAATCATACCACTTCAGGATGATGAGAATATAACCTGGGAGTGAAAAAGAGAGAAAAGAACTAGATTTAAAAAAAAAAAAAAAGCATCACAAAAACTTAAACTGAAATATTCAGTCATTTCTCAAACCATCCAAAGCCTTACCCCATAGGAGGGATAACCCCATAGAACCTTAGCCAGCTTCCATGGGGCACAGTTTAAACCAGGGCACCCTTTCAATTGACTTGTCTTATGTATCTTGAAGAGTTCTCCGTCCTCAGACCCTAGCCTCTTCCTTGAATAGCATGGTCCCTACATGATCCAACCTCACCAGCCGTGCTCTTGGGCCCTGATGGGTCAGATTTTCTGCTGCCTGTCCTGCCTCTTTGCTTTGCTCTTCCTACCCAGCTCCCTCCCACAGGGCCCTGCCCCTGGCTCACCACCTTCTAGTTAGTAACCAGGCATTGTGTGTTTGGACCCCCAAAGTGGCTGGGTCCAAATACAGTGCCTATTAGAAAGTAAGCTCCTTGAGGGCAGGGGCTGTTTTGTTTTTGTCTTTTAGTCCTAGTATCAGGTACAGCCCTTTGCACATAGGGGCTTACCGTGTGTTTAAATCGAGTTAGAGTGAAATCTATCTCCGCAAAGGGGCAGATGTTATTGTGGTAAACAATGTTCCTTCGTGTGACTAGTGGAGCTAGTGGAGCGGCAGCCTCTGCTTCCTCAGGGGCAGTCCTGTCCGTGTGTCTGTATTTATAAAAGCCCCGATACAGAGACCAGGGCCTTGCTTTCTAGTGTGATTACACTGTTAACACTGTTCAGTTATGCTGCCGTGCAATGGGTCTCCTCTGAATTGCTCCCTCTCCTGGTGAATAGGCCTCTAGCACTTGAGACCCACAGGTCTCAGATTGTGACCTTCATAAAGGCAGGGGCAATGTCATGTTTATCTTTGCCGTCCTCAGTGTTAAACACCGTGATTCGCACATAGTAGACACTTACATGGTTGCATGAATCAGGAAGTGAATGAACAAGTATACAGCCAGTTATCAGCTTCTGTCCACTCATACCCTAACCTATGGAAGTCATTCCCGTATTCCCCCCAGCCCTGTGGAGACAGACGTATTCAGTCCAGCAGAAAACATAGGAACCTCTGCAAGGGGGCAGAACATACATCCTCCGAACAGGAGGGCAGGCAGGCTTGGTCATCTGAAGACCTGTGTTTCTGTCGGGAACACATTCGCAGCCTCAATGCTTTTATTATCGAGTAAAAACCCTTTTCCCTCTGCTAAAGTAGGAGCCCCTTGCTGGCACTTTTATGAGTACAGCTGCACAGGATTGTTACCAGATGGATGGAAGGGGTGGCTCCATTGAATTGGCCACCTCTTTGAAGAGAAAACAATTTGTTTACCTGCCAATAGCACGTGGGCCTTTTAGGCCTTGAATATTTATTCTCTAGCTCTGGCAGGGGCTGGTTTTCAGGACCATAGACAGTGTTTGGTTGCTTTCAAGCTTTCTGACTACCACAGTGAACAGTAATTTCCCCTGTCTTTGGAATTCCTTCAGCATTTTAATACAATTTAATGTTTACTTACACATAGTCCTACAGTGTTCATTGTTATACACTCAGACGCTATCAGAGCTAGATGTGGGACTTTCCAGTCTTTCATTCTGCATATGAGGAACTGAGGTCTGGAAAGGGAAAATAATTTGCCAAAGGTCACATATAGCTTTCATACAGCGAAGCTAAGATTAGAACTCCAGATCTCTTTACATTAGTCCAGAGTTCTTTCTCTTATGCTATAATTTCATGTGTATAATTTCATCCACATTATAGACTCTTTTTGAATAAATGCTACTTCCATATTCCTCACAGAAGTAATGTCAAATTCGGAAACAGGTTTCTGTGGCATATATGACTTGTATATTGACTTAGAAAACCACAAATTAAAATTATCTGTTGTATTTTTATTTACACCTCTGCTTTACAGTGTCTTATATAGAGTTGAACATACAGTAGATAGTCAACAAGTACTTTTTGACTGAGTGACTTTAAACTAAAAATTAAATTCCTGAACACTAGCAGTGAAAAGTCAGTTTACCACCTAGCCTTTTAGATGTTGTTGTAGTATATAAACTAATTAGACATTGGTTACCATACCAGTCCAAATACAGACATGCCCAAATCTGTCTTGTATAAAATCTGCAGCCTTTGATCAGTGTTATTTTTCAGTATATGCATACATATTTTATTTTTAGAGAGATCACATTTTATGGGTACAGTCAATATTTGGACCACTATAGATTACTGAAATAGTGAATGTTGAAATAACTTTTATTCTTTCTTAAAAATACACAAAGTAGAAATCACAGAGATTGATTTTAGTGTCAGTTTAGCAAACCAAAATGCCAGTGATCCATATTTGGGACTACCAATTAGAGAAGAAGACATTAAAATATTAAAATTAATGTGATCCATATTTTATGTATTTTAAGAGAAGGAAGCAAAAAATACCATAAATTGAAAAATTTAAATAGAAAATTTTTAAAATAAAATGAGCATTTGAATATTTTAGTGCTGTTGGGGACTAATGCCTACTGTGCATGAATTTGAAGTTGATGACCTTTCTGAAAGATATATATATAGAGACAGAGACAGAGACAGAGACAGTTTTGGTAATCATCTAGCATCTATGAAGCACCTACTAGGGAAGAGAGCAAGCATTTGTTAAGTGCCTACCATGTTCAAGGTATTGTACTAACTATCCTCACAACCCCGTGAGGCAGGTGCTACTAGAATCCCCTGGGTTTTTTCATTTGTTTGTTTGTTTGTTTGTTTGTTTGTTTGTTTGTTTTTTTAGTTTGGGAAACTGAGACAAACAGAGGTTAAGTAACTTGCTCAGGGTCACACAACTTCTAAGTGTCCGAGGTCAGAGTTAAACTTAGGTCTTCCTAAATCCAGGCCCGCTGTGCCACCTAGCTGCCTAAGTGCCAGACACTTGGAAAAGGTTTTGTTGCACAGATATTTTCATTATAAATGGACTTACCCTGTTTATATAATCATTATCCTCTAGGTCCAGTAACACATTACTGCTTAATGAAGAACTTGGTAAAGTTCCATTATGAGAATCTGAAAAGGATTATGGGACATGGGAAATGTTTTGTTGTGATAGAACTTTGTTCAAAACAGTACAATATTAGATATTATATTCCCAAGCCACGGGATGTGAAGATGGAACATGAAAAGTAACCAAGACTCTTTTTTGGTGAATTAGCAAATGGGGTGGGGAAAGTTGGGTAACGAGCATTTTATTAAGCACCTAGTCTGTGCCAGGCACTGAAGCACTTTTACAAATATTACTTCATTTGATCCTCCCATCAAGCCTGCATGGTCATTGCTGATTTTATCCCCTTTTCATAGTTGAGGAAACCGAGGCAGAGGCTAAGTAACTTGCCCAGGATCACATAGCTAATCAAGTGTCTGAGGCTAGATTTGAATTAGTCTTTTTGATTCCAGGCCCAGCTCATGGTGCACTATGGCGCCCCCTAGCTACCTCAGGGAAGAAGTCTTTGGTCTTAGTGGGGAAGAAGGGAAATGCCCCCCACCCCCATCCTGCATCTGCCATTTTTGCTCCCTTTACCTTCAAACATCTCGATCTTTTTGCATTTTGTGATGATGCTAGTTTGGACTTACAGAATAATTGTTGGGTTGTTTTTTTTCTTTTTCTCTTGGTGTGAAACACCAGGGAGCAGTGAGTTGGGATATATAAGGTAGGAAAAGTCCTCAGTCAATCAACAATTATTTAGCAGCTACTATGGGCCAGGCACTATGCTGAATTCTTAGGGGTACGAACATGGAAATGAAACACGGATTATCTTCCAGAATGGGAGACTACACGTATGTACCTAAGTACACAGAGAGTATATACACAATAAATCCAAGGTAGTTTATGAGGGGGGAGGCACTAGCAACTGAGGCAGCAGATGTCCAGAAAAGCTCCATGTGGAAGGCGGTCCTCAAGCTACACAGCTAGTCAGCTACTTTTGTTAGGGAGTTAACATGGCAGAGACAGGAAGTTGATTCATCATACCAGATCAACAAAGCCCTGTCATAACAGGCCATCTGCTGGGACTGTGAAATAGGTGTGTTAGCACAGTGTTTGACATGTAGTCAGTGTTTGATAAATGTTTGTTGAGTTTAATTCTATAGCCTTCATTGTGACACTTTGGTGTAGTGAACAGAATGCAGAATTTGGAGGCAGGAGAGGATTGGGTACTAACCCTGCCTCTAACACAATTGTTATGTCTGTAGGCAAGTGACCCAGTCTCTCTGGGCTTCACTTTCCCCATCTGTAAAATTAAGATTATAATACCAGTAGCACCTATTTCAGAGAGAGGAGAGTCAATTGAGTGTGTGTGTGTGTGTGTGTGTGTG